GCAATCCGGCTATTTCGGACTCTATCCAGATATATCCGGCTATTTCGGACTTTATCCGGACGTATTCCGACTATATCGGACTTTATCCGATGTATTCCGGCTATTTCGGACTGTATCCGAATTAATCCGGCTATTTCGGACTTTATCCGGATGTATTCCGGCTATTTCGGACTTTATTCGACGCAACCGGCTATTTCGGACTTATCCGGACGTATTCCGGCTATTTCGGACTTTATCGTGTCGTATTCCGGCTTTTCGGGCTTTTTTCGGATTATCTGGCTATTTCGGACTTTATCCGGTCGTATTCCGGCTATTGCGAATTTTTCCGGACGGAATCCGGCTATATCGGACATTATACGGACGCATCCGGCTTGTTCGGACTTTATCAGAATTATCTAGCTATTTCGGATTTTATCCGGACTATTCCGGCTATTTCGGACTTTATCCGGACGCAATCCCGCTATTTGGACTTTATCCGGACGTATTCCGGCTACTTCGGACATTATCCGGACGTATTCCAGATAGTTCGACTTTATCCGGTCGTAATCCGGCTATTTCGAATTTATTTGGATTAATTCGGCTATTTCCGGACTTTATCTGGACGTATTCCGGCTATTTTCGGACTTTATCCAGTCGTGTATCGCTATTTCGGATATTATTCCGGATTAATCCGTCAATTTCGGACGTTATCCGGACGTATTCAGGCTATTTCGGCTTTTCCGAACGCAATCGGCTATTTCGGACTTTATCCGGATTTATCGGCTATTTGGACTTTATCCTGATGTATTCCGGCTATTTCGGACTTCATCCGGTTAATCCAGCTATTACGGACTGTTATCCGGACGTATCAAGTCTATTTGGGATTTTATCAGGTCGTATCCGGCTATTTCGGACTTTATCCGGGGATATCGTCAATTTCGGACTTTATTGGACGTTTTCCGGCTATTTCGGACTTATCTAATTTATCTGGCTATTTCGGACTTATCCTAATTTATCCGGCTATTTCGGACTTTATCCTAATTTATCCGGCTATTCTGACTTTATCCGGACGTATTCCGGCTATTTCGGACTTATATCCTAATTTATCCGGCTCTTTCGGACTTATCCGGACGTATTCCGGCTTTTTCGGACTTTATCCGGTCGTATTCCGGCTATTTCGAACTTTATCCGGATTAATCCGTCTATTTCGGACTTTATCCGGACGTATTCCGGCTGTTTCGGACTTTATCCTGTCGTATTCCGGCTTTTTCCGGGCTTTATCTGGATGAATCTGGCTATTTCGGACTTTATCCGGTCGTATTCCGGCTATTCGGACTTTATCCGGCGCAATCCGGCTATTTCGAACTTTATCCGGACGCAATGCGGCTATATCGGACTTTATCCGGTCGTATTTCGTTTATTTTCAATCTTTTATCCGGATTAATCCGGCTATTTTGGACTTCATTCGGACGTATTGCGGCTATTTCAGACTTTATCTGGACGTATTCCGGCTATTTCGGACTTTTCCGGTCGTATTCGGGCTATTTTCGGACTTTATCCGGACGTTATTCCGCTATTTCGGACTTTATCCAGACGTAATCAGGCTCTTTTGGACTTTATCGGTCGTATTCCGGCTATTTCGGACTTTATCGGATTTATCAGGCTATTTCGGACTTTATCATGACGTATTACGGCTATTTCGACTTCATCCGGATTAATCCAGCTATTTCGGACTTTATCCGGATTAATCCGTCATTTCGGATTTTTCCGGACGTATTCCGGCTAATTCGGACGTTGTCCGGACGGATATCAGTATAGTTCGGACTTTATCCGGTCGTAATTCCCGGCTATATCGGAATTTATCCGGATTAATCCGGCTATTTAGAACTTTAATCCGGATGTATTCCTGCTATTTCGGACTTTATCCGTTCGTATTGGAATTTCGGACTTTATCCGGACGTATTCAGGATAGTCGGACTTTATTCGGACGTATTCCGTCTATTTCGGACTTAACCGACGCCAATCCGGCTATTTCGGACTCTATCCAGATATATCCGGCTATTTCGGACTTTATCCGGACGTTTTCCTCCTATTTCGGACTTTATCTGGTCGTATTACGGCTATTTCGGACTTTATCCGGATGAATCCGTCTATTTCGGACTTTAACCGGACGTATTCCGACTATTTCGGACTTTATCCACGATATCCGGCTATTTCGGACTTTATCCGGAAGATATTCCGGCTATTTCGTTTTATCCGTACGTATTCGGCTATTTCGGACTTTATCGGTCGTATTCCGCTATTTCGGACTTTATCGGATTAATCCGGCTATTTCGGATTTTATCCTAATTATCCGGCTATTTCGGACTTTATTCTTACGTATTCCGTGTATTTCGGACTTTATCCGGTCGTATTCCGGCTATTTCGGACTTTATCGGATTAATCCGGCTATTAGAATTTATCCGGATGTATTCCGGCTATTTCAGGACTTTATCCGTCGGATTGGATTTCGGACTTTATCCGGACGTATTCAGGATAGTTCGGACTTTATTCGGACTTATTTCGGGACTTAACCGGACGCAATTCCGGCTATTTCGACTCTATCCAGATATATCCGGCTATTTCGGACTTTATCCGCGACGTATTCCGACTATATGGACTTTATCCGATCGTACTTCCGGCTATTTCGGACTGTATCCGAATTATCCGGCTATTTCGGACTTTATCCGGACGTATTATCCGGCTATTTCGGACTATCTGGTTCGTATTCGCGCCTATTTCGAACTTTATCCGGATTAATCCGTCTATCTTCGGATTTATCCGACGTATTCCGGCTATTTCGAGACTTATCCATGTAATCCGGCCTATTTCGGCCTTTATCCGGAGTATTATGGCTATTTCGGACTTTATCCTGATTAATCGGTTATTTCGGACTTTATCCGACGTAATCCGGGTATTCGGACATTATCCGTACACAATCCGGCTATTTCGGACTTCCTAATTTTATCCGGCTATTTCGGACTATATCCGGACGGTTATTCGGCTATTTCAGATTTTTATCGGTCGTATTCCAGCTATTTCGGACTTTATCCGGATTAATCCGTCTATTTCGGACTTTATCCGGACGTATTCGGCTATTTTCGACTTTATTCGGAACGCAAACCGGCTATTTCGGACTTTATCCGGACGTATTCCGTATTTCGGACTTTATCGTGTCGTATTCCGGCTTTTTCGGGCTTTTTTCGGGATTAATCTGGCTATTTCGGACTTAACTCCGGTCGTATTCCGGCTATTGCGAATTTTATCCGGACGGAATCCGGCTATATCGGACATTATACGGACGCAATCGCGGCTTGTTCGGACTTTAATCAGAATTTATCCAGCTAATTTCGGATTTTATCCGGACTATTCGGCTATTTCGGACTTTATCCGGACGCAATCCGCCTATTTGGACTTTATCCTTTGTTCCTGTGATATGAATGGAGGTTCATTGCATTTTATTTATATTTACAATGACAGTGCATGATTGTTTTATTTCATTCTGTCAAACACTAAGTATTACTCATGATAACATGAACTATAAAAATATACTGATGGACTAATAAATGGGAAGGTAAAAAGTATTTAGAGGCAGCACAAATGTATGTATTGCTCGGGTCTGTTTTCCCGGCCATCAGAGGCCAAATCAAGGCAAATTCCGCGCCGTGGCAGGTAGAAGGGGTGGGGCCTTTACACCTGTTTCAGCCTGAGTATGCTGAAACACAGAGAGTAATATTACTGGCTGAAACCAGAGAGTAGCTGAAACTGAGCTCCAGCAGTCCTATTCTTTGACTCCAAAAGAGAGCACGTGTCTTGGCGGCGTGTGCACAAGCTAGAGGCCACGCGCGCTAAAAGCTGTTTGTTTTGGTTGGGGTAGTTGGAAGTGCGCATAGTATTATCCTGAAAAGTAATTCCAGCATTTACTTCAGGCGTAACCAAGCGTATGTCAATAAATTAACGATGGTTATTGCTATCGGATTGGAAGGCAGTGCTAATAAAGTTGGAGTGGGATATAAGGGATGGAGAAGTTTTGGCCACTGTCGCGCAAACTTACATTTCCCCCAGGAGAAGGTTTGTTTTGTCAATATTTTACCTACAAATTCCTATCGTATATATCAAGATTATTCGTAAAATGGAAGTCGCTGCAGAAATTTTTTTTTTCTCATATAAAATTGTGAATTAACCTCGAGGCCAATTGTCAAAGTGATCAGTCAGGACTTTACTGAGAAGCGGATTCGTAATACCCCTTGTGAGTTAGAATAAAGAAGTAAAATTAGTAAATACACCAATTCTCTTATAGTTCTCAGAAAATAGCATTGTCAAATGGTGTAATTCCACCTCGGCAAATGATACACAGATTTCTTCCTGGTTTTGTGTTCATATTTTGTTTCACAACAAAGTATATGTTTTTATTTAAATTTTGTTATTTCAGGGTTCCTTCCTCGGGAAACAGCTCAACACCACCGTGAGAAAATAATTGGATTGGTCCGTGAAGCACTTACAGTGTCTGGCATTTCCCCAAATAAGATAGATGTAGTTTGTTATACCAAAGGTCCTGGAATGGGTGCTCCTTTAATTATGGTAGCTCTTGTTGCACGAACTATAGCACAGATATGGAATAAGCCAATTATTGGGGTGAACCATTGTATTGGTCGTATCCTTTTCTTAGTCATT